GGGGGTCCCCAGGAAGGCTCTGGAATCCTGCCCCTCCCCACAGGGTAGGGGCGCCAGCAGGGCCCAGACTCCGTAGGGGAGGTGGTCGGCTTTGATTGTCCCGATACAAAACACAGACTGGTATTGAATTCAGCTCCATCCTGATCGCGGCGGCCCTGCTCTGACTCTGTGAACACAACTCCCTGCGAGGTCCTGGCTACAGATTCATTCAAAATGGTCCCCCAAAGACAAACACTAAAGTCAGAGAGAGAGAGAGAGAGAGAGAGAGAGAGAGAGAGAGAGAGAGAGAGACAGAGAGAGACAGAGAGACAGAGAGAGACAGACAGAGACAGAGACAGAGACAGACAGAGACAGAGAGACAGAGAGGTGTGAGAGAGGAAATTCAGAGGCACAGGAAAACAATCATCTTCAGAACTGAATCTTTTTAAGGACAAGAAAAAGAGCAGCCAAAGGTCTGGAAGCCACCCCCGGCAAGTTCTGTTCAAACGCCCCACACTCCCTCCCTCCTTTCGGACCCTGGGAATGTCCACGTTCAAATAAACAAGCCGCTGAGCAAGGGAGTTGAGCGCTTTTCTCGCTGCCGATAAAGCGAACGTTTAGACTGCGAGAAAGGCGAGATTGATTTACGAATCTGAACGTGCCGGTTTTATGGCCGATCACAAATCCGTCAGCGCTCAACTCACGCTGGGAAACTTCCCAACTTGCTTTTCCAACCGACCCCTCCTCAGCCTCCTCTTTCCGGGGAGGCCCACTGCTGGCTCTGGGTCCTCTCTGCCCAGGCTGGCAGGCAGGTGGCAAGCTTGGGAAGCCAGTGAGGAGGGCCCAGGGACTGGGGGCAAGACAGGTCACAGGATGGAGAAGTCCTTTCTGGATCGGCTGCTGGGACCCTAGAAGTACATGCACCCAGGCAGCCAGAAGCTCTCAAAAGGCTGGGATTTGGGAATAAGGGAAAATAAAGATCTTGTGTTGTTGGGGGCAGTGGCTGAAACCGTCTTGAGCCCCAGCTTTCCCCTTCTATTGTCACCCTCCTGCTTCCTTTGCTAAACCTCACATCCCAGAGAGCAGTTTCTGAAGTCCCCAGCAACTGGGTCCTTTGTCACCTGGGCCTACAGAGGGCCTCCAACTGGTCATCTGCCTTCCTAGATAAGGAGGGAGTAGACACCTTACCAGGTGCCAATAATTCAGGAAGGAGCCGGTTTGCCTTTCTGTCTACCACTTCCCTACCTGAGGCCTCCAGCCCCTCCATTTATGCCACCCAGGGACAAAACAGAAGACTTCCTGATCACTGCAGTTATTTCTTGTCTGAGCCCAGGGTTCAACTTATGAGAAATAATTTACGAAACGCAAACCAGCACCCCACACACATCGCAGCAAGGTTCTGTCACTCCTATTCTTAGCTCAAGAGGAGCAATTCCGCTTCCCAGCCGGAACCAGCCTCTCCCTGCTCCTGAGAAGATGCCCCGCTGGTGTGGATTTTTAAGAAGCACAAACAGAATACAAATTTGGGAAGGCGCTCCTTGTCGTGCGCATGGAGTCCCCCCTCAGCAGACCTCTCACCTATTGCTTGACTTTAAAAGTTGCTGCAAACTTTGCTTCTAGCAGCAGAGCTAGCCCTGGGAGGGGAGGAGAAAAGCCTGCACCGCCCCCTCCCATTTATCTTGCTGCTGGGGAGAAGGTGAGGTACCTCTTGCACTATAAGCAGCCGAGGTAGGTCTGTCTGGGAGCAGTGGAGCAGGATAAAGGTGCTAAGAGAAATAGCATTCCTAAACAAAGGAATTTCGGACATAGTGCTGCGAGTCTGTGGATTTGGATATGGGGTAGGGAGGACAGCAAAGGATCATTCGTTCATGGTGGGGGCCAGTTCCTTGTAACAGAAACCCAAGAGCGTATTCCTCTGGTCCTCTGGAGCCCCATGGGGTGAGCCTGCCAACTCTATATGACATCCTACCCCTTTGTCTTTCTTCCCTGAGCTCCCTCCTAGGGAACCTAGGAAGGAGGCTTGAGTTGATCAGGGAGGGAGCAGGGAGCTGCTGTAGCGTGGTCTAGGGAAGGGACTGCACAGAGCCCCGACACTCAGCACCCCACACGACTAATACATCGCCATCCACCACCAGGGCTAGCTGTTTTATTTCTTTTCTCCTTGATGGACAGTTATGGAAAAATCATCCAGGAATTCTGGGCTACCATGGAAAGGAGGCTAGGGGGTAGGAAGGGAAGGGAGAAGATGGAACACAGGACAGCTGGGGACCCTCCCTGCAGAGGTGCGACTTTCCCTCCTGGGCAGGAGGCAGGGGCCAGCACAATGTCCAGTCTCACAGAGGTCAAGGGGTTTCCGAGGTCATTTTGTGGTTCTAATACTGAGCTAATCGCCTAGAAAACGTGGCCTCTCCATGAACTCTCTCTCTCTCTCTCTCTCTCTCTCTCTCTCTCTCTCTCTCTCTCCTGCCAGCCTCCAGCCTCCAACCCGAGAGGCCTCAGGGAAAAATGGCCAGCACTCCAGATCTGAGGCAGAGCCCAGTGACCCTCTGGCCTGCACAACCGGGCCCAGAGAAGAAACTAGACCCCCAAGCTGGGACAGCCAGAGGAAACCAAACCAGATGGAGGGATGGTGCCTCCAGGAAATGGGCGAGCAGAAGAGCAGCCCTGGGTCTACAAGCGCAGCAGCCTGTCCCCATGCCCTAGCGGCTGCTCAACCCACGCAGGAGCACAGACCCTCTCAGATCTCAAGCGGCACACAAGAAGAAAATGGAAAGTGACCCTTATACCCATTCCGAGGCCGGGCTGTTCCACCGGAGAACTGGGTTCCATTTTTCTAGGAGGCAGCAGTGACATCTGGCCGTAAACAGGCAGAGGGGATGCGGGTCCCCAGTGCAGACAACGAGAATCCCAGGAAAGCACCAAGCACACAAGCACCTCAGGAGACCCGTAAGACACACGAAGGCACCTCGCCCTCGCTCGCTGGCTCTCCCACACAGTCTGCCTTTCCCTAAACCAGAAGAGTGCTTGCTTCGGGCTGCCTCCCAAACAACCTCATCTGGGGTTTTTCCAGAGCCCCCGACACCTCCATCCTGGACCAGTTCAAACACTCTCCAGGTGTCAGACTCCGGCCACCTCTGACCCAAACATCAGTCATCATAAAAGCAGCACATCTGACCAACTGACCACCATAAAAACTCCTCGAAGATAGTTGAAAAAGAAAAAACAAAAAAAAGAGGAGGCGAGAGAGTGTTTCTTCTGTCACTTGTGAAAAGAGCTCATAAAACGATCAAAAAAATAAAAAATAAAAAAAGCCAGCCCAGGCCAGGGCTTTGTTACCTCTGTGACCCTCGCCTCCTCTTGCCCCAGCTCCGCCGGTCCCATTCATGATGAGCGGCTTCTTCCAAACTGAGAGAAAAAAGTTCTCAACTTCAGGGTTCCAAATTTTCTCCCCCTTGCAGATCCGGGAGAGTCGGCTAACACTTTTTTCCCCCAACAGCCGGTCTGCGGAGATTTGCTGTTGAATAATAACAAAGGAGAGAGGGTACGTATTTAAAGAAAAGAAGTGATTAATGGTTTTCTGTATAATTCTCACATTTTTCTTAGCTCTTGTCTACACAGAATGGCTGTGAACTTTAAGCTCCATAGAAATCTTTTTTTTTTTTTTAATTCTATTCATACCTTCCAAGGAGCAGCTTTGATTTAGTTCTTTAGAGACATTCCTGGGGGTGTGTATGCTTTTTAAGGACTATTTTCCCCCTCTACGAAGGGCCGGTTGCATGTCTTCCCTGCAAAACATCATACTGCCGTGCCAATGAGACAACACTCACCCCTCAGCCTCCTCTAGGCCCCAGTAATTTTTTTTTTGTTTTATAAATCTCCAGGCTGTCTAAAACCAACAATTCAACCACCCTTTCTCCACGCTGGGGGCACCAGGCCTGTCCGTTGCCTGGCCCTACCCAGCCTCCAATCACCATCACTACAAACCTCAGAAATACAAAATAAATAACAATAATCCATGTTCATGAGTTTGGCTCTTTTTTTTTATTTTCTGAAAGGAAGGGGAAAAAACCCACCCCACTTTTAACTGCGTCTGTCCTCAGAGCGCCACACCACTCTTGCTTTGGCTATGGTGGCAGGATGGCTGTCACCTTGGACCACCACCCACCACGGGACCTGAGACCACAGGCTTCAACATGAACTCTGGACATCTCAACAAGAGGCCCAAGACTGACCAAGCTTTCTGAGGGTCACCTGTACCCCTTCCCCTCCCCCCACTCCATTCTAGGGTGACTGGGACCTCGGACACAGAAAGCTATTTGGCCCCCAGTCGTACTTTCCATACTTTCTATGAGAAAGAAAATGAAAATTAATACAGGAGCAGGGCTTCACAAAAGAGGCCATTTGTCTTCTTGATTATCTATTTGCTTGTCAGAGTTTGAGCTATGGCACCGGCTAGCTCTTTTGTAATATAAAAATACTCTGAAAACCTGCAAACACCCAGAAACATCTGTGCAAAAAATTAGACTCATTAAAGCCTTAAACACCTCAGAGGAAAGCGGTACCTTCTTAGGCAGGGAGGAAAGAGGCCAGCCTCGTAGAATCTGCTCTCGGAACTTTAATAACCAAAGAGCTGGCTAGAAGAAGACAGCTTAACCACATTTACTTGCTTATGACAAATACATCACGATATGAAAGGCTTTGCCGTACTTAAACCTCTTGCGCCCTACAATGAAACATTTTCCCCCCATTAGGGAATGGAATCAGCCCTCCCAGTTCTTCCAATCCATTTTTGGATGGGAGGGGAAAAATTTAAAAGCCCCAAACAAAACACACCCATCCCCAAAGGGAAATAAACCAGCTACCACAATTTAGGATCCTCTGAGACAGAAATTCCCACTGGATCCCTGGGCAGGGAGGCTACTCCGCCACTTAGAAGGGGAAGCCAAATCCACCAGGACGCCTGGCACACACACACTGGGTGGCATCTGTCCACATCTTTACATCGAGGTTCCAACAAAAACACGGATGTGAAGATGGTCACAAGAAACCAAACATTTATTTCTATTGTCACTCTGTACAGGACACAAATTTTCACACCAACGAAAGGTTCTAGACTCAGGCACCCCCTGCCCCCAGGGAGGAAGGCACCTGGCTTGGAATGTCAGAAAGAACAGGAGAGAGGACGCACATGACATAAAATAATAGCAATAATAATAATAATAGTAATAATAATAGTAAACTATACAACAATGATAAACTATGGGAGCAGATTCTCACACCGGCCTCCCTGAGTCGGAGAGCCCAGTTTATTTCCTAATTTCACATTCATTTTCAGTCTAAGACAGGAGTCTCTGCTGTACAACTCCAGATTGGCCAGGGGGTCCTGCCCAGCCTCCCCCCCAAGCCAGCCCCTCACCCTGCTAAGCATGGGTGTAGGTCACTCTTTTAATTCTTGGACTCAGTTTCCCCGCCTGCATATGTGTTGCCAGGGCCACCCCTCCCCAACTTGTCTTCATCCTTCTGTTCCCCTCCACACACACCCTGAGGTGGAAGGGGTGAGCAGTCAGTGGTCCCCGTGGACAGGCACTGAGGAAGAGCAACGGGGTGTGTGTGTGTATATGTGTGTATGTGTGTATGTGTGTGTTACCGTGGTCACAACACTGTGCTATCTAGCAGTCGCGGGGTGCTTTCGCTGGGTGTCAGGAGGGGACAAAGAAAGAAAATGCAGGCCGTCTTCCAGCAGCGCCAGCAGCCAGGAGGCCTGGCTGGGCCTCATTTGTTAGCGGGCGTCGAGGTAATGGTCGCCACCGAGGCCGTTCTCTCCTCTCCTCGGCAGAGTAAACAAGACAGATGGGCCGGGCCTGGCGTGATTAAAGATGAAACGTGGATCCATCTTCGCCAAAGCTGAAAACGAGGCGCTGTAGCCTCCTCCTATTTCTCTTTCTGTCGTGTTCTTTCTTCCGTCTTCCCTTTTCTTCTCTTTTTTTACAGAAAGAAGGCCAAAGACTGGATCTTGCCTGGGGGGCTCGCCTGGCCCGGCTCCCTATGGTCATTTTTATAAATAAAGCTCCCCTACTCCTTCTTCTCTGAGTTTTTTCATATATAGATGGAGTGGGGGGCAGGTTGCCTTTTGGGGTTCCCTCCTGCACCCCTTGCGCCCCATCCGTGCTTGCTGCCTACCCCCGCCCCTCAGATCTGCAGCTCCAGTTTGGGGGACGCGCTAGAGCGCAGGGGCGCCTCCGCTGGGCCGGCCGGGGGGCCCTCCGGCGGCGCCTGCGGTGCCACCCGAGCGGATCTTGGTGTTGGGCAACTTGTGGTCCTTTTTCCACTTCATGCGCCGGTTCTGGAACCAGATCTTGATCTGGCGCTCGGACAGGCAGAGCGCGTGGGCGATCTCCACCCTCCGGCGCCGGGTCAGGTAGCGGTTGTAGTGAAATTCCTTCTCCAGCTCCAGGACCTGCTGGCGGGTGTAGGCGGTCCGCGAGCGCTTGGGCTCCCCGCCGGCGTAATTGGGGTTTACTGGACACACACAGAGACAGGGAGAAAGAGAAAGTTTTATTGCTCCGAAAGGGAGGAGGCAGAGCCCTTTCTTCCAGTTAACGCGGCTGCGGCGACACCCTCCCTCTCCCTGCCACCTCCACCTCCGGCGTGGAGCGAAACGCGCAGGGGGAGCGCAGCCCGCAGGCCAGGAAAAAGAAAGGCCTCCGAGCTGTGCAGGGTTGTGCTGTCAGCGGGGTTGTTTGGGTGTCTAAGGGAAGCAGGGAGGAATCTCTGCAAGGTTTTCACTGCTCCTCTCTCCCCGTTGGCCTGGGGCCCCGGGTGGGAGTATGAGGGGTGGGCGAGGGAGGGGTGTTGCCTTAAACCTTTCCCGCTTAGTTCCCACCCTCGCTGGCTGCTAGAATCCCAAGCAGCGCCTGCCCCCAGCAAAAACTTTTGTACACTTCCCCAGCCGGCCTGGAAGAAAGGGGGCATACTGGGAGCTGACTGCAGTCTCTCGCTTAAATACGGATTACTACCTCCTCCTCCTCCTCCTCCACCTCCCACACACCCCCCTCCCCAACTTCCAACTTTCCCGGGACTCCATCTCCCCGGCGAAAAAAATCGCTGGTGAGAATAGAGGAGAGGATAGAGAACCGACTTCAAAGGCGCAGGGCCCACCAGGCCATAAAAATTTATGGGGGATGTAATTACGTGGCTCTGAAAACAGGCGACCGTAAATCTCAGGCAATGGCGAGTTTATAGCGGGGACAATTGGCTTCCTCCAGCTCCCTCCCCCCGTGCCTCCGGGTCCCTCGGTGGAAAGCGCCGGGGGCGGGAGGGGAAGGGGTGCCCACTCACTCACCCGTGCTCACGTGAACCTTGCGCATCCAGGGGTAGACGACGGGCTCTTTGCAAGCAGAGTGGGACGGGCTGGGGTGCATGGGGTTCTGGGCGCAGGGAGGCGGCGGGGGACTGCTGCTGACCGCCTCGCAGCGCTGGCCGGGCTCCGGGAGGAGGGCCCCGGCGGGCGGCGGCGCGGG